ATATATATATATATATATATAATATTGTTTTTGATTTAAAATTAGAATAACTTCAAGTTAAAAGTGTCTATATTATTAATTTTTTTCATATTTATAAGTAGTATGATTGTAGATTTAATCAATAATTATGTTAGATAGAAAGTATTAAAAAATTGATTTTATATTTTATTCGCTTAATAATTGTTAATTTTTAATGACAAAATTATCTTTTTAACATTATATTGGAAACCTGTTAAATTTATCAATTACTATAAATAAGTTCTAATTATTTTAAGATAGAGATGTCAAGATGAGATATAATTCCTAAGTTAATTTGGTCTATTAGGAGTTTTATGGTTTGAATATGAAATTTTTTAATTCTTTTTCGTGGGTTTAATGAGTTTGATTTACTTAATTCAAAGAGTTAAATCGGTTTGGGCTGAATTGAAAGTTGGTTGACCCTAACCCACTAATAAAACACTTTATTGATATATTTTACCATTTTTTATTAAAATTATTTATTACTTCTAATTATATAGGTTTATAATTTGATCTTTTCTAAATACTAGAATATTGTTGAAATAATATATAAATAGTATATATGTTTAATTTATTTCTTTACCAATGTATGTTTATACTTTAATTTTCAATTATTATTTTTATAATAATATTTAGATAATTAGGTAAACACTTTGATTACATTACTATAAAAAAATAATTGAATCAATCCATTTTTCTTATATTACAATAAATATATAAAATAAATTAAAAAAATAAAATATTCATAAGTGAATCAACCTATTAATCCACAAACATGTGATGTGTTAAGCTAGGTTAAAAAAAATTTTACTTATCAAAAAGTGAGTCGAGTTGAGATGATCTTTTTTAGGTCAATTTGTGATTAACCAACTCCTATGAGCCTAATTGGCTCACTTTAACACTCCTATTTTAAGGTGATAGAAGTGTAATAATAAATTTGTCATCTAAAATACATTAAGATTATTTAAAGAGGCTTAAACATTTAACTTTTACTTAGTCAAACTCCAACCAAATCATCTTATTTTATGTACTTAATTGTTATCAAACAATATCTTACCATCACAAAACATTAGATTGGAAGATAAACATTTTATAAAGCTACGAGTCTCTTAGATTAATCAAATGTTTTCTACAATTACAAGAGTACATAAGTTTTAACCTTAGCTGATTTGGACATAAAAATTGTATATTTCTCACATTACAAAAGTTTTTGTTTTTACTATCAGAATTTTACCAATGAGAATAAATTCGTTAGTAAAGCCAAATGTATCAACAAAATTTAAAATTTAAATTATCGTCAGATATTTCTGCTAGTAACGAATTTGTGGGTGAAATTCATTGAAAAAATCCATTGACAAATTAGAATTTGTATTACAGATGAATATTTTCATTCGTAATGTATGCAACAGTCAATTTGGTCATAATATATCTAATAATCAATTTAATCGGTAATTTGTAATTCATATTACCGACAAATATTTTTGTTTGTAAATTTATCGGTGAAATACGCAAAAAGTTTCTTACTAAGTCTAATTATATTTGTTTGTATATTGAGAGAAGCACTAGTACAATATTTGCTTTTAAACTCACACAATATACATCATTTCACACCAAACCGCTGTCTATCAAACCACGGTGGCAAAAGTGAAATTAAGAGAACCTTATAGACCTCGGTTGCATGCAAGACTGAAGTAGAAAAATGCTACGACCTCGGTTGCAGGAAGAACCGGTGCCTAAAACCCACCTACCAGCCAGGCTTTCGGGCTGACAACTTTTTAAAAAATTGATACTACCTCGGTTACATGCATAACCGAGGCATAAACCCTCTACCACACCTAAACACGCTTCTACGGCATCCGGTCCCTCTTAGACCCGGTGTCAAAAGGTACTTCGGCCTCGTTTTGACCGAGGCCTATAAGCCTTCTTGGGCTTGGACCCTGCGAAAGCTTTTCCCCAAATGCCTCTTTCAAGCCAGGAAAACCTAGCATATCTCCCATTTTCTCTACGCTCCAGTCGCTCCTTGCACTGCCTGCCCCTCGCTCCTTGCGCTGCTTGCCCCGTCGCTGCCGGGAGCCACCACCACCTCGTCGTATGCGACGGCTGCGAGCGCGGCTTCCACCTCGCCTGCCAATGCGTGGAAAATCTCAGATCTACAGATAGGTGGAGCAAGCGGTGGCTGTTGGCGGAGAAATATCTCAGATCTACAGATCTGAAGGTTCGGCTTCCGCCCGTAAAGACCCCTCCTCCATCCCCAACATCTCCGAAGCCATAGCCTCACTCAGCTCTACCCCAGAAGCCAACTCCCCGAGAGAGAAACGTCGTTGCTCCTTCGCGCCACGTCTTCGCTGAGGCCAGTCGTCGGAGTCGCCGTTGCTCACGTTGGAGGAAGTCACGCCGTATAGGTAATCTCCCGTGTTTTTTGCTTAAGGATTCAACTCCTTTGTTGGTGGTTGGAGATGAACATAGAGGGGTGGAGGCTTAATTTCATTATCTGTTTTGGTTTGTGGTCGCCGAATGGGTGGTTGGGTTTTTCTTGCAGAGAAAAATGGTTGTTGGCTGTTGGCTTAACGAAATTTGATGTGTATTGAGTCTCATTTGGCTATTGGCTCTATTTGACGCAGGTGAAGAAGGAGCATAACACATTTTTGGATATGGCTTTTTTTATTTTTGGCGTTCTAGCAGGTTTTGTTAAGAGGAATTGAAGGAGAAAGTTTTCCTCTCTGGATATAGCTTTTGTGGTGGGTTCCGTGTAGTGTAGGTTGAAGGGATGAACTTGCTTAGAGGAAAAACTGTGTTTTTTTTTTCTTTTTGTGTTATATGATTATGATAAGATATGAAAGGAACGAATATGATTCTAGCCTGGGGTGAGCTTTATTATTTCTATGATATTTTCCCCTCTTTTGCTGGTTGTGGGATTGAAGATTGAGTTCAAATTTCCTCTCTTTAAAGTTTATCACAATAAGCAGATGTTGAACACCTTCAATGTGATATGCTCATGACCTTAAAAATGTATATTATCGATTCTAGTGTAAAGATTGAGAAAAAAAAGAACCTTTCTACTGCCTCGGTTCACTAGAACCCGAGACCAAAAGTCTGGCAAAAAAAAAAATAATACGTTCTACCGCCTTAGTTTCATTTTAACCGAGACAAAAACATATATCTTTATACCTCGGTTCAGAACTGAGACCAAAAGTGGTAGGCTTTTTGCTTCGCCTTTATATACTTCGGTTGCAAACCCGGTGCGAATAAGCCAAAACAACCGCTGCAATATCCTCTTAGTGCACTAGTGAAGATGAGTGAGAATTAAAAGACAAGAAGGAAAAAGAGAATAAGGAGGAGGAGGGAGAGAATAAAGAGGGAAGGAAGTGAATAATAAAAAAAAAGAGGAGAAAATACAATATTGGTGTTGTATGGTGGTGCGATGGTAGGTGTTGCATGATGGTGCAACGGTGGGAGGTGAAAGAGAAATGGAAGAAGAAAAAAAAGGAGGAGAAGGAGGAAGAAAAAAGTTTTATTTCACTTTTTAGTAAAATACCAAAGTTTAATACTTTAAATCATAAAAATCAAAATGTTTTTAATTTTAAAAACTTATTTTCTACCTACCATCAAATAAAACATTTTGATGAAAATAGCACGTTCCCCTTCTTCTCCATTCGTTTTCAATACTGACCGTGAAATAACATGATGAAAATGTTCAGGTCCGAAATTCAAAATTGAAATTTGTTTATTTGTCCGTTCTTAATCGTCATGAATAAAAAATAAGAAAGTGATTACTACATTAGAGCTTGAGTTTTTCCACTATCAGAAATGCATTACGAGAGACTCTCTATATTAGAATAAATTTTTTAAAAATTATGAAAAATATATGATAAAATAAAGCTTAAAAAAATCAAATAAAATATTAATAATAATAATTTTTATAATAAGACCTTATTTATTAGAATATATCGTTAATTTAACATGCAAACAAAATTTTAGATACTAAATAATGGTTTTGTGTATTTTTTTTCGTAAGAGCTACATTGTGTACATGGGTGATCTTCCCAAAGGCGTGGAATCCACGGAATCACTTCACATCACTATGCTTCGAAATATCCTCGGCAGGTTATTAATTCAGTTTTCTTTTAACTTCTATTATTTTAACTAATTATAGGATTTGCTTCAATTTATTATTTGATTTTGATAATTTTTTTTCATGATAACTCATTGGAATTAAATATAAAATAAGATGTGGTTTAACCTGGTTTAGTTTTAATATAAAACATAAATCAAATCCATGTTTTACAGTATGGTTTGTACGATTTTTAATTTTTCTTATAAAATTGTTCAATATTTTATTATTAAATTTGTCAACTAAAATACTCATTGTAAAACCTTTTCATAAAAATGTTAATTATTTTTAGCAGAGATAACAACAAGGCCGAAGAGAGGTTTGTTTTACTATTTATATCTTTATTTTTAAAATAAATATTTATCTTTATCTTTATCTTTATTTTTATTCACATATTTTATAGGCGTAGAATTTTTGTCTTATATCTATCGAATAAAGATTATAGTGGTCTCTATGTCTATATTTACTCTTTCAAATATTAATTAAATATTTTTTAAAAAATAACAACTAAATAAACTTAATATTATGAACGATTCAATGTAAAAAGTTACATGTTTTTTTTATAATTTTTTCTTCATCAAATCGTATTATCAAATAATAATTGTGTAAATATCAAATGTATAAATATAATTACCTTTTAATTCAATAAGAGTAAGGATTGTATTTCTTCAAATATAATATACCATGGAACCACAAACAAATATAATTAATGTTATGATGAAAAAAAGGATATTGTTTCAACGAAACAAAGAATTTTCAAATGAAATAAAACTAAAGATCAAACAAAATTGATAAAATAAGATTCTTACATTTCCTAATAAATTAAAAGTTTACGTGAATTGATACTTGAAATTAAAAGTTAATTAAAAAAAGTCTATAATAAAAATAAGCTGATTCATTGAAATTGAAGTTAGTATTTCCTGAAATACAGTAAAAAAATATATTGAAATGGCTTTGATGCAGCAAATTTACAGCAGACGTTTTGGTACATAGCTACAAGAAGAGTTTAAATGGTTTTGTCGCAAAGCTAACAGAAGAAGAAGCAGCGAGAATGGCAGGTATTGATTACAGTGCATGAATAATCTGTATATCTCATTGTCAAATTGTATCTATATATATGTAATGAATGATTTTGATAATTTTTAGGATTGGATGATGTTGTTTCTGTTTTCCCAAACAAAAGGAATGAAGTGCAGACAACAAGGTCTTGGGATTTCGTAGGTTTATCTCAGTCTGCGAAGAGAACAAGCAAAGAGAGTGACATAATTGTCGGAGTAATAGATACTGGAATTTGGCCAGAATCTCGTAGTTTTGATGATCAAGGATTTGGTCCACCTCCATCAAAATGGAAGGGCACTTGCCATAACTTCAGCTGCAACAAGTACAATACATTTTCTTTTCCCCTTCCAAGAGAACGTAGTATAAAAATAAAATGAAAACAACTCTTATGTTCTAATAATTCCCTTTTAAATCTTTTATCTAAATAACTCAAAATTTGAATTATTTATTAAAAGACTATTATATATTTAATATAACTCCCATAACTTTAATATATTTATATAATTACATTATTCATTATTAAATTGAAAACAATTGAACATTCTTCCAAAGGTGATATATTGACTTAAAGATTCAACGTTTAAATGTGCACTATATACAAAAGTTATTAAGTCATTTTACTTTATCAAATAAATTATAGATTATATAACAACGGTTGGAAGTTTTCCAACAACATGATTCCTTCCATATATCACAAATCATTCAACTCAATTAGAGTTACATTATGCTGTAATATGCATCTTCAATGACAACATACGCAGAAGTATAATTATTGTAATCCTCATTAAATTGCCACTAATGTCAGATTTCGATAACTATTTAACCGGTTTATTGAATTCCTTTGTATTATCAATTTTAAACATAAATGACTTAAGCCATAATCAGCCTTTCATCCATTATCAATGCAACGTTTAAGCACATTACACCTACTTAAAACTGAATCATTTTATTCAAATAATTGAATTTGATGAAATAGATACCCAAAACAAACATATACTAGACATGGCTCTATATGCATACATTTAAAGCAAACTCACAAGTTAATGTTTGAGACACTTTCAAACTATATTGACTTTAATAATGTATTTAAGTTTTCCTTTAGATAAAATAAATACATTTCATATTCATAATATGCCCACTAAACATACTTCAATGTACACAATCAACACATGCAAGCAAATCTTTATAAGTGATTGATCACATAATTAAAATCATAAATTTCCTAAATTTCATCATTTGGTGATTGATAAAAACAACCCTCTTAACTTTTGAAAGTTATTCTTTCAAAAGAAATTATGCCATCTAAGTGATTCTTTTTCACATTACCAAAAAGATTCAACAATGAACAATGCAACGTAAGTATATATAAAGAATTTGACATTACCTCGAAGCAAAACTCATTATTCAATAACCCTTTGGAAAGATGATAAAAAAAATTAAAAAAAAGTTTTTCTATATTTGGATAACTACCTCGGCATTTAAATCTCTAAATCATTCAAAATTTGAATTATTTATTTAAAACTAAAAAGAAGTAATTAATTTGAACATATCTAAAACAATTCTCGTCACTTTATTAATAAATTTATTATGTAATAGTTAATATATCATATATTCTTACACTAAAATCATCCCACGAGAATTACATATACAATGCACTTTTAAATTAATAGTTATTTAACATTGACAACTTTTTGCAGTAAAATAGTTGGAGCTAAATATTTTCGTACGAAGGATTCGTATGAAGAAGAGTTGAGTCCAAGGGATTCAAATGGGCATGGCACTCATTGTGCATCCACTGCCGCTGGAAACTCAGTTGAGTTCGCAAGTTTCTTGGGCCTTGCGTCAGGAACAGCAAGAGGAGGAGTTCCATCAGCACGCATTGCTGTGTACAAAGTTTGTTGGTCATCTGGTTACTGTGATGATGCAGACATCCTTCAAGCATTTGTTGAAGCAATTGAAGATGGTGTTGACATCATTTCCATTTCAATTGGACCTGCCAATGTAGAACACTACAACTATTTCACTGATGTATATGCCATTGGGGCTTTCTATGCTATGAAGAAAGGTATATTAACGTCTACTTCAGCTGGTAACAGCGGTCCAGAGTATTATACAACATCCAAAAATGCACCATGGGCACTTTCTGTAGCTGCTAGCACTACAGACAGAAAGTTTTTAACCAGTGTTCAGTTGGGTGATGGCAGAACTTATCAGGTAATTTAGAGTATAATTGTTTTTGTCTTCATGTATTTTTATTGCTTCAATTAAACTTTACTCAACATTCAGGGATTTTCAGTTAATATATTTGATTACGTGAGCTATCCATTAATTTATGCTGGAAATGCACCAAACATCATCGATAGATACAACAGTTCCATATTCAGGTACCAAAATCTCTCTTGTAATAATTTTACAATTACATTTACTGATTTCCAGTACTCTGTGTCCTAACATTATCACTACTTAGGTTATGCCAGGAAAATTCCTTAGACGAGAATTTGGTGAAAGGAAAAATTGTTTCGTGTGATGATTTCCAACAATCTTCATGTGTGAGATCGGTTTCTGGGGCAGCTGGTATTTTATTTAGAAGTTTAGGGCCAAACGATGTCGTTTTTACATATGCATTGCCACCGGTTCTCCTTCGTCGCATTGATGGGGCTCGCATACATTCATACATAAGTCGATCAAGGTATATTTAATTTTCTTCTATTTTAGTTTTACTATTTTCTCTTAATAGTTCTATGAATCTTAAGATGCCACTTCAGAAATTTCTGTTATATTTTGAGAGTTTGCACAATAAAGATCAGAACAACTATTTTCTTTAGAGTATACATATCACTAATTCATATTATATNCTAAATAACTCAAAATTTGAATTATTTATTAAAAGACTATTATATATTTAATATAACTCCCATAACTTTAATATATTTATATAATTACATTATTCATTATTAAATTGAAAACAATTGAACATTCTTCCAAAGGTGATATATTGACTTAAAGATTCAACGTTTAAATGTGCACTATATACAAAAGTTATTAAGTCATTTTACTTTATCAAATAAATTATAGATTATATAACAACGGTTGGAAGTTTTCCAACAACATGATTCCTTCCATATATCACAAATCATTCAACTCAATTAGAGTTACATTATGCTGTAATATGCATCTTCAATGACAACATACGCAGAAGTATAATTATTGTAATCCTCATTAAATTGCCACTAATGTCAGATTTCGATAACTATTTAACCGGTTTATTGAATTCCTTTGTATTATCAATTTTAAACATAAATGACTTAAGCCATAATCAGCCTTTCATCCATTATCAATGCAACGTTTAAGCACATTACACCTACTTAAAACTGAATCATTTTATTCAAATAATTGAATTTGATGAAATAGATACCCAAAACAAACATATACTAGACATGGCTCTATATGCATACATTTAAAGCAAACTCACAAGTTAATGTTTGAGACACTTTCAAACTATATTGACTTTAATAATGTATTTAAGTTTTCCTTTAGATAAAATAAATACATTTCATATTCATAATATGCCCACTAAACATACTTCAATGTACACAATCAACACATGCAAGCAAATCTTTATAAGTGATTGATCACATAATTAAAATCATAAATTTCCTAAATTTCATCATTTGGTGATTGATAAAAACAACCCTCTTAACTTTTGAAAGTTATTCTTTCAAAAGAAATTATGCCATCTAAGTGATTCTTTTTCACATTACCAAAAAGATTCAACAATGAACAATGCAACATAAGTATATATAAAGAATTTGACATTACCTCGAAGCAAAACTCATTATTCAATAACCCTTTGGAAAGATGATAAAAAAAATTAAAAAAAAGTTTTTCTATATTTGGATAACTACCTCGGCATTTAAATCTCTAAATCATTCAAAATTTGAATTATTTATTTAAAACTAAAAAGAAGTAATTAATTTGAACATATCTAAAACAATTCTCGTCACTTTATTAATAAATTTATTATGTAATAGTTAATATATCATATATTCTTACACTAAAATCATCCCACGAGAATTACATATACAATGCACTTTTAAATTAATAGTTATTTAACATTGACAACTTTTTGCAGTAAAATAGTTGGAGCTAAATATTTTCGTACGAAGGATTCGTATGAAGAAGAGTTGAGTCCAAGGGATTCAAATGGGCATGGCACTCATTGTGCATCCACTGCCGCTGGAAACTCAGTTGAGTTCGCAAGTTTCTTGGGCCTTGCGTCAGGAACAGCAAGAGGAGGAGTTCCATCAGCACGCATTGCTGTGTACAAAGTTTGTTGGTCATCTGGTTACTGTGATGATGCAGACATCCTTCAAGCATTTGTTGAAGCAATTGAAGATGGTGTTGACATCATTTCCATTTCAATTGGACCTGCCAATGTAGAACACTACAACTATTTCACTGATGTATATGCCATTGGGGCTTTCTATGCTATGAAGAAAGGTATATTAACGTCTACTTCAGCTGGTAACAGCGGTCCAGAGTATTATACAACATCCAAAAATGCACCATGGGCACTTTCTGTAGCTGCTAGCACTACAGACAGAAAGTTTTTAACCAGTGTTCAGTTGGGTGATGGCAGAACTTATCAGGTAATTTAGAGTATAATTGTTTTTGTCTTCATGTATTTTTATTGCTTCAATTAAACTTTACTCAACATTCAGGGATTTTCAGTTAATATATTTGATTACGTGAGCTATCCATTAATTTATGCTGGAAATGCACCAAACATCATCGATAGATACAACAGTTCCATATTCAGGTACCAAAATCTCTCTTGTAATAATTTTACAATTACATTTACTGATTTCCAGTACTCTGTGTCCTAACATTATCACTACTTAGGTTATGCCAGGAAAATTCCTTAGACGAGAATTTGGTGAAAGGAAAAATTGTTTCGTGTGATGATTTCCAACAATCTTCATGTGTGAGATCGGTTTATGGGGCAGCTGGTATTTTATTTAGAAGTTTAGGGCCAAACGATGTCGTTTTTACATATGCATTGCCACCGGTTCTCCTTCGTCGCATTGATGGGGCTCGCATACATTCATACATAAGTCGATCAAGGTATATTTAATTTTCTTCTATTTTAGTTTTACTATTTTCTCTTAATAGTTCTATGAATCTTAAGATGCCACTTCAGAAATTTCTGTTATATTTTGAGAGTTTGCACAATAAAGATCAAAACAACTATTTTCTTTAGAGTATACATATCACTAATTCATATTATATTAACTGCATACTGCAGAAATCCAACTGTTACAATATTTAAGACTTATCAAGATCCAGACTCAATAGCCCTTTACATAGCTCCATTCTCATCTAGAGGACCAAATGCAGTCACTCAAAACATTCTTAAGGTAACTTTATATAATGTAATATATATAATAATTAGTATTTTCAAAGATATAATGGTTGGGAATCCTAATTTGAGTCGAGTCTCACGTTGTATATAAATGAGAAAGTAAAACATTATATAAAAGTTAAAAGACCCATTAATCTATTGTGTTAAGATTTTTGATAAAGAGTAGTATCAATCACTTATAAAGTTGGATAAGGTTTTTGATAAAGTGGTGTCAATTTCTTATATGATTGGACTCGTATCTTGTTAATGTTCGTGTCTTCTAACTTTCTCCTCCGTAGATTCAACAATATAATTTGTTTATTCTAACCATTTATTAATTATGCAGCCAGATTTAGCTGCCCCTGGGGTTGACATTTTAGCTGCGAGTCCTCCAATTTCATTTGATTCTAATGTCGGAGGAGATATTAGAATTGCAGAGTATAATATAATGTCTGGAACTTCAATGGCATGCCCTCATGCTACTGCAGCAGCAGCTTATATCAAATCGTTTTATCCTGATTGGTCCCCTGCTGCAATCAAATCAGCATTGATGACCACAGGTAATCAATGTTTTCAGCCTCTAAATCACATACATCTTGTTAAAGATATTTATTTTTTCTGAATAACAAACAAAGAAAGTAAACATGTAATATTGTCTAAACCAATAGTGTGTTGCTTTTCTCTCTCATTTGCAGCTACCCCAATGAGTAAAAAACTCAATCATGAAGGTGAATTTGCTTATGGTGCTGGCCAAATCAACCCTATGAAGGCACTGAATCCTGGGTTAGTTTATGATGCAAATGAAATTGATTATGTTAACTTTCTATGCGGCGAAGGATATGATACCAAAAAGCTACGAACTATTACAAAGGATGATAGCAGCTGTACACAACAACCTAATAATGGAATGGTTTTGAATCTTAATCTCCCATCTTTTGCCCTTTCCATGAGCACTTCAACACCTTTTAGTAGCACTTTTCACCGAACCGTTACCAATGTTGGAGCCAACACATCAACATACAAAGCTAGGCTAAATGTACCTCCGTCTTCGTTAAAGTTGAAAGTAGAGCCAGACGTTATGTCCTTCTCATATGTGGGTCAAAAGAAGTCCTTCAATCTTGTGATTGAAGGAACACTTAACGAGGTTACAGTTTCGTGTTCTTTGATTTGGGATGATGGAACTTTTCAAGTAAGGAGCCCTATTGTTGTGTTCGATCCACAAATGTAATTTACAAGTGAGCCCTATTTATAAACTATTTTGTTATTTGTACACTATATTCACTATTTGATCGTCTTCATCCACTATTACAAAAACATTATATAAGGTCGTTGTTTTTCAGCCTTTCACGTTGAATTCGAAGTCGACGTCGACGTCGTATCTCGAGACGTTAAATTGACATCGAACATAGAACAATTCGTCGTTAAGCAAATTAACGTCAAATTTTTTCAATATTCGACGTTAATCAATTTTTCTTTTGTTTTTTCTTAATTAATTGTGATCCTTTTTTACAACACTAAGAGACCTGAAAAGCAGAAAAACAACAAAGTTCAGTTTTTGGTATTTTATAAAGCATGAACTATGAATGTGTAGTGTAATATCAACAACAAACAACAATAACAAATAACAAACAAGTTCAATCAAACAAGAACAACAAACTGGTTCAACCAAATAACAACAAACAAGTTCAACAAAAAAAAAATAACAAACAAGTTCAACAAATAAGTTCTTCAAAACGAAAACGAAAACTAACCTTCAAAAGGTGGCTTCGTCGAAATAATGTGTTGCAACCACTAAGAGAGAAAGCAAAATGCGACTATGAAAGACAAGAACACGAAAATAATCGGTCAAAACAAACGAAAATCATACATAAAGCAGTTAATTAACATGCATTTGTAACAAATGAAAGAAAGATTACATGTGATGAACGTAAAAATTCGTTCCAGAAAAGTTTGAGCAGAGAAGAGGGTATCGCGCGCTAAGATAAAATGAATAATTTTTCAATCTTCCGCTCAAATTTTTATTGAATTCACTAACCTTTTAAAGTCTAACGCGGGGACATTCGACATTTCGATGGTTTTATATCCTTTTGACGTTTAATTCTAGGGAATTCAACGTCATACGTAAATATATTTTTCACCTTCGCGCCAAACATCTTCGCAAAATTTACCCAATATAATTGTCGCAACCGGAATCGCGACGGGACGACGATCCAAAAAGAAATCGGTTTTGAAAAGAAAGATTTGGAGTCGCCACCATAGTTTATTGGATGGAAAACTACGGAAAAACCGTTAAAACGAAAAAGCACAGTCGCGAAACCAGATTCTAGGTTCGGGAGTCGGTTACGCGTGGGGAAGGTGTTAGCACCCCACAACGCTGCCCTAAGGCAGACCTTAACTAAATGCTACGAATATGATGTGATTTTCAAAATGTTTAACTATCCCCTAAATAAAATTCTAAAATAAACAAACATATTTTTTAGTTTTTTTGGGCCCGACAAGGATTGACCGTTGCTCCTACGTATCTCATTCAAAATGAGAAATCAGGGTTACGATTCGTTTTTGACATGTTTGAGCAGATTTGTTTTGAGAATAGATTGAAAGATTTTTTGATTTGAAAATGAATTACGGATAATTTGGATTTTTGGGAAAGTGAACCTGACAAGGACTAGCCTGCTCCTAGTATCTCCACTCTTGATGGATGATCAAGGATCACGTAGTTCCTGCTTAGAATATATGTTTGTTTCTTGAAATTGGTGTTTTTAGTTTTGAGGATTTTTATATATTTTTTTATATTTTTATATAAAGACGAAGTGAGAGAGGGTTTTAGACGAGGACGATGCGAGCGATCACACACGTGCTTAACCTTTAAAATATATTTTTTGGTATTTTTTATAAAGAAAGAGAAAGGGTGTTTTACACAAAGGACGATGAGATAGCGATCACACATGTGCTTGACCTTTAAAATATATTTTTGTATTTTTATAAAAGAAAAGAAAAAAGGTTTCTACACACAAGGACGATGCGGGGCCGAGATCACACATGTGCTTGACCTTTAAAATAATTTTTGTATTTTTTTTAAATAAAAGAAAAGAGGAAAGGGTTTGTTAGCACCAGGACGATGCGTGTGAATCACACATGTGCTAACCTTTAAAAATATTTTTCTCGGTTTTTAAATAAATAAACAGGAAAAACTTTTAGCACAGCGATAACACATGTGCTTTAACCTTGTAAAATATTTTTTCGGTTTTTTATAAAATAACAGAGAAAAGGTTTTAGCACCAAGGACGACGACGAGGCGGTCACACGTGTGCTTAAACCTTTAAACGGTATTTTTGTAATTTTTATATAAGAAAACTAAGAAAAATTTTTAGCACAGGACGACGCGGAACGGCACACACGTGGCTTAAACCCTTAAACGTATTTTTTGTAATTTTTGTATAATATATTATATATATATATATATATATAAATATTTTAAGTTTTTATGTATTATAATATGTATTTTAACATAATAGATATTTAGAATAAAATAAAAACAATAAAAAACCATAACAACAATAAAATAAAAACAAATAGAATAAGAAAAATGAGGGAACAAAATAAATAAAGAAAAACAAATAAATAAATAAGTAATAAAAATGAAACAAATAGTGAGGGGTGTCCAAATGAGAAAATGGGAGTGTCTAAACTAATTTTCCTTTTATAAATGGATGAAGCCTAAACCCAAACTGAAAGGGGTGAGAAAGTGAGAATAGGGGGTACAGGCAAGAAAAATAATTTTATTTCTTTTGTTATTATTTTTTAAGAACAGGATGGCCTAAACCCAGCCCCAGGGTAACCGTATGGGGGTGCGTGGTGAGAAACGGGGGCTGCGTGAAGAGACAGTTTTTGTTTGTTAGGAACAGAACGGCCTGCGCCCAAGGCAGGGATGGACGTATGGGTTGTAAGGGTGAGAGATGGGGGTGCGCCTAGGAAAGAAAAGAGTCCTTCTTTTTTTTTTGTTTCTTAAAATATGGATCGGCCCCACGGTTATTTTTCCAAGCAGAAGCATTAGGGGTTCTGCACATCTTCTTCCCATTCAAACATTCAGAAAACTAGAGACCTAGAGCCCCTCGTCCCAAAACGAGGGCAGCTAAAAGTGGACCTCCGCCGTTCGCGCACACGCGCCACCGCCTCCGCCAACACTTTTTTTTTGGAGCCGCCAACGCAAAACCAGGACACCACCAGTGCGTCGATTGCCACCACAGACCTGCCGGTTGCCGTGCCAGCTTCTCCCCTCCCTTTCTTCTCCGCTTACTTCGGCCGCGCGAGAGAAAACTTCGTTCGCCTTCCCCCCACGCCGACGCCAACCCCGCGTGAGGCCAAACCACCGCGCTTTTCAGTCTCCGCCGGTGCTCTATCCTCGTTGTTGGGCTGTTTCTCCTCCCACCTCTTCTCTTTTTTGTTTTTTTAATTTTTGATGTGTTTCAGTGTCTCTTGTTTTCTGATATTTTTCAGGCTCTGTGTATTAATTTAGGGTTATGATGATGGTGTTGGAGGTTCAGTGAGGTACCGACTAAGACTACTCTAATTCCGGGCTACCCTCGCGTTCTATGGTCTCTTTAACATGATTTTTCTGTTGTCGTTTTGTGTTGAGCTGTTTCAATTTCAGTATTAGTATTGGAAGATGAAACAGAGGCGTTGAGGGCTTTTAGTAATCAATTATCTGGTTTGGCTCTTGGTCTTGGTGGTTGGTGGATGGATATGGACCGGGGGGTTGAAAGGAGAGAAGCAACAAAAAAACCCCCCCCCCTGAGAAAAACCCCCCCCCCAGACAATCAGGCTTAAGCAAATTTGGGTTTCTGTTTGTTGGGATGAATGAGTAACAAACAATGTGCAGAAGCAATCATGTATACTCAATATATTGCAAGTTCAATACGAGCAGACAAAGCCAGGGCATTATCAAGTCAAATGGAAACAGATATCAACCCAATAAGCACATAACAACATCAATATCCCAAACATTCATAGTATATGAGCAGTTTAAGAGTGAAGACTTACCTTGCGTGTTCTAGCTTTCCTTCTTCGTAAGTGCCTGCGGACTGAGCTACGACCATGAAGACGCTAACGAGATGGGAGTAGATGAAGAATACTAACGACAGTGGACAGTGAGGGTCCCTTATTGTGTGAATGGGAGGGATCAATTTTTTCTTTTTTTTCTGTGAAAGTTTCTGGCCTTTCCTGCTGTGTGGAGAATTCAATTCTCAGAGCCGTTGTGAGAGTGAATGATAATGTGTGTTGGAGCGAGGGGGCCTCCAGAGTTTGGAGTTCGGCCCCCCTGGTATCTGCTTCCGTGAGACTTCGATAGTGTTATAAGTCCAAAAAAAAAAAAAAGAATTCCTATCCCCTAAACTACTCTCCCCCTTAGCCATCTTCACGGGTTCGATCAAACCAAAGTCAAAAGCTGCCTGTTCAATGGCTTGCTTCCTGCCACCACCCTACTCTGCTCTACACCGTTTGGCTAAGAGCCAGCTTTGCCTGCCTCCTAAGGTAAGCTAGCCTAAGGCAGTGTATACGCATGCATGGCGGCAAACAGCAAGAATCTTGCTACAAGAAATGTGGCAGACCATAGGCTATGGAAAAAATATCACTGAAATCAGTCTTGTCGGAGAGATCTTGAAAGCTTTGCCATTTTTGTGTTCTTTTTGAAATAAGATTAAAATACAAATAAATAATACAATATAATAAAATAGACAAAATACAATAACTCCAAAATAACAAAGTAAAATAATTAGTAATAACATATATATAAAATAAATTTATTAGTCACCCGGACGAAATTGGGGTTGAAGCTGCCCCTCTTTACTTAGATATACCGGATTAATATGAAACTTTGATATTTTCATCTATTGGTGTAAAAAATTAAGTAAAGAAAGAAACAACTAATTTCGTCGGACTTCAAAATGAACAAGGAATAAATAATGAGGTGTTGTTGTTTGTTTTTGTTAACCACCTCGCGGAGGGTGTAAACAACCATTATGCATGAATGAGGTGTAACAACCTCGTGGAGGGTGTTTGTAAACAACCCTTTATGGATGAATCTTTTGTATATGAAGGTGTAATAATGTTGTAAATAACCTCGTGGAGGGTGTAACAACCATTATGGATAAGGAATGAGGTGTAACAACCTCGTGGAGGGTGTAAACAACCTATGGATTGAAAAGTGAATGAGGTTTATACCGCGTGAAGGGTTTGTAACAACCTATGGATAAGTGAATGAGGTGTA